GGAGCCTCCCCGCCCCCGCCCGCCTTCCTTCCTCGCGGCACAAACGCGCTCATTTACATTCCTGCAAAACCTTCGCCGCGAGAGTCCCCTGCGCTGCCCGGCTCCCGCCGCCCGGCCCTCCGCGCTCGCCCGGACGCAGCCTCGCGGAGCCCCCCGGCCCGCCCGAGCGCCCCACTGGTGCGGCCGGACGCGGCCTCCGCGACTCGGGGCCGGGCGCCGCGGCCTGGTCTCCTCGCGCCGGCCGGGCCCGGGGCCTTGGGGGGCGGGGTGGGGAACGAAGTTAGAGGCCCGAGTCCGGGGGGGCGCCCCCTCTTCAGGGCAGGCTCTTTCCAAAGAGGAGTCTCGGGGGCGGAGGCGCGGGGCGGGGGGCACGGTAGGAAAGGGGGGCGGAGCGGGGCGAGCAGCAGTTTCGAGAAGTTTGGGGAGGCCCAGCGTGGCGACGTGGACTCGGGGAGCGCAGAGCGAGCGTGCGGGGCAGGGCCTGGGCGACGCGGGGACTGCGGCGTCCCGCGTCGTCCGCGGACACCGGGGGTGGGGGTCAAGGTCCGGGCAGCACGTCCCCCCAGCCGGGAGCGCCCGAAGCCTCAAACTGCCCGCTCCCCAATACACGCACGCCCTCCCCGCGCGGTTCCCGGCCGGCGCCACCTTCCCGGGTCTCGAAAGCCTGTCCTGGGCATTCCCCCTGGGCCTCCCTGCGCTCGGTAAAAAGTGAGTTCGGTGTGTGTCGTTCGCGTGGCTGTCATTAAGGCAGTCTGTTATTGTGCGAGGCTGAATCAGTGGCTCTTTGTGCGCTCAGCTGTATGGTAATGCAGACAGCACCTGCTCCCTGCACAATGCGGGAGAAAGAGCTCCCTGCGCGCGCGCCGCGGCCTCCGCGACAATGTCCGGCACATGTTCCAAAGACCCTCCAGACCGGCCCCCAGCCCACCACCTTTGCACAACCGTCACCTTATTAGATTTTTACACGTCCGTCAGACACTGGAACTTTTGTTTTCATTTTTTAAAAGGAAATGAGTTTATTGGGAGGGCCGGGAACACACGTACCACACAATGAATTATCTAAATCGCTCTCATGCTTACGGCACCAGGGGGAAGTAAGTTGGGGCGCAGACTCCGACTGTGGCATCCAGCTTGGTGCTGGCGCGCACCCCGCCCCCTCTCTGCCACCTCCTCTCCTCCTCAGCCACCCCGACACCTTTGGTGTGAGCGCTGGAACAAACGTCCCTTTGGTCGTGGCACGGCCCGGTGCTCCTGTAGGCGCATTACCGCCAACCCCCTGGCGAGAATATGAGCCGTGGAGGCAGAAGGTGACTTTCATCCGGGCAGATGTTGTGATCACAAAATATATAATGTACAGAAAGAGGGGAAATCTTCAAACACCAAGAAAAACCACTGGTAACAGCAAGCTAAAAGTCATTTGGGGACGTCCTCCATGGCCGTCTCTCTGGCTATTAGGCAACTGGAACCGAGATTCTAGGGCTCCTCTTCAGGTGACCCAGCCTGTCTCTTGCTACCTGGGCTCCCAAATACCTGTAAAGTGTCGGGGTAAACACAGATGTACATTTGAGGGTTTTCATTGCCTCATGGAAAAACAGTTAAGTAAAAGTAACATGCATGTAAGGTTTGAGCCAGAGGTGAGAAGGCCAGGGCTCGGACCCCACCATGAACCCCCTACTGTTTGGTTTAGAACAAATGGAGGCTTCAAAAGATGTCGACACCTCCGTGCAGTGGCAACCCCAGTGTGGCTGTCCTTTGCAGACTCCCCAGGGCCTCGCTGCTGTGCCCAGAGAGGGTGGGGCAGCTCAAATCCTAATTTAATCTTGCCACCTAGTGTCAGAATCCTTTTTTCTCCAGGTCCACGTTTTCTCCAGAAGCTAATTTCTAAGAATTCTGCCCCTACAGCACCGGGGCTGTTCACGTGGAGGTGGGGGGGAGGCGAGGGCTCCAGGAGCAGGGGGACGCAGGGGAAGAAAGGGAGGTAAGGTCGGAGCCCAGAACCTTGAGCCTGCGAGACTGAGCACAGATTCCAGTAAGAAATGAAATATCAGGAACCTTTTAATTAGAAAATGGAAGTGGGAAACAGGCTCATTTGAATGCCTGTTTAGAAAACTAGAAATAAAAAGTTCCACGCGCTAGGGCTTAAACCTTGGGGAGAAAAGACTTGCCCCAAATCTTTAACAAACCCCCCTCGGTATCAAGTATTTGTTAAATTGACATGGCACAGATTTCTCGATTACAGCGGCAAAGCGGAACTGAAAGGCATCGTAAAATCCATCAGAATCCTGCCCAAAGCGTTCATTCTTTTCCAACTTAATTTATGCCACGCGATTCTGTACTGGGGAAATCAAGCAGAAAGCCCTTTTCTTCTCCTCCCTCTCCTTCCTCCTCCTCCCGTTCTTCTCCTTTTTCTTTTTCCTCTTCTTCTTCTCCTCTTCTCCTTCCTCCTCCTCCTTCTCCTTTTTCTTCTTCTTCCCCCTTTCTCCTCCCCACCCCCAAGTTGGTTTCTCTCCTTTTCTCTTTCAAAAGCTAAGCTAACGGGGAGACTGTTTAACTCCAGCGTTTCTATAGGAGCCTGTTGTAGTTTAACTCCTGCGCACCAGCAGCTAGGATGAACAAAGGAGAGACTCGGGGTCCAACTATTCATCCTTTCTTTGCACTTTAATTTTCATTGATTGGGAAGACAAGGGGAGCCCTCAGGGATTCGAGCTGGAGGGGAGGACACGCCTTTAGACGCCATCAGCCCCCTGGCCAGCCATCTGCTCCAAACCAAATGGCGTTTTTTCACTCCCCAACTGCATGTCTCTATACTCCCACAACCACGCACTCTGAACCCCCCAAATGCAGGAGGGAGCGTCAGCTAGAGTGTGTTAAATAGACTTGTGCGGTGTTGGCCCCAGCAGCCAGATTCCCTCCTCCCCACACACCATAAATCCTCACCTTGCTCACTAGGAAAAAGCAGGAAACTTTCTTTTAAATACTTTTTGATGTCTCAGCAAATTTACTGTACAGAGTGAGGCTCATTAGAGCGTAGAAGACACCCAATACATCAGACCCAGGAGTGCAAGGGGTGTGCTGCCTGGCGGTGGTGGTCTATTTTCTCCAGGCAGTACAGCCGTGGACAGGATAACTGCAGTGTCCAGGGCAGGCTCGGGCTGTGTCGGTCAGAACCACAGCCAGGGCAGCCCCACCTGGGGTCTGCGTGTGCCGACAGTCTGCTTACTTCTCCCCTTCATTAAGCCACTTGGGAATAAAAGCTTGTGGCTGTCGCCTTACCGAATTAAGCGTGCCCATCCCCAGCTGTGTGTGACCTAATGCTGTGGTCACCTAAGCCTAGTCCCCCTTCACCAGGAGAAAGGCTCTGTTCTCAAGGTGTGTGTGTGGCGTGGCTTGGGCGAGGCAGGAGGCCTGGGCGGGTTGCAATGCGCCGCGCAGAGCGGGCTGCAGACTGGCCGGCCACAGGTTCGGTTTTCTGTGTAAACAAGTCTGGAGGCTTGAGTGGGGTTTGTGTTTTCTCAGACCAACTGAATACTGCATACCCAACAGAGAGGTTCTCTTATTCCTAGAAGAATTAGGGTCCTTGTTCAGAACAACAAAATAAAAACTTCCAGGCAGCAAATCTGGTGTTGACCAAACATGCCAGCTTACTTGAAAAAAAAAGAAGAAGAAGGGTACAGAAAGCATGTGTATTAATTAGCATTGGTGTCACATCCCCCACCACCCTCTGCCCATTCCCCATCCCGCACAGTTTGGGAATCTCGAAGCAGTGGAAAGAGCAGAGGGGCGGCCCTGCTCGCTGCCTCACTTCGAAGGGCACTTGCTTCCTCCCTCCCTCCGAAGGCCGCCTTTGGACGTGAACCCAGAACTCCTGGGCCACCCCCGCCCCCACCCCAACTTTCGGCCGCCCCGCTTGACCAGCCGCGCCGCGCACACGAGCGCACGGTTGCGTCTGGACCTAGCCACGGGTCGCCCACGGCCCGGGAAAAGGACGCGGCATCTGGTCAGCGTTCAGACCCCCAGGCTCCTCGCGCCGAGTCTGCAGCAGGAGGGACCCGCGCCCCGGGAAGGGGCCCTCCCCGCACCCGCAGGCGCAGCAGGGCGGCCTCTGGCTGGGGCAGGGGTGGCGGGCGGGGGGCGGAACGCAAGCCGGCCAGGAAGGATCGGCGCTGGCGGCGGGTCCCCGCGCCGAGACCCCGCGTGGGCCGGTGGGCCCGCCTCCCCGGTGCGGCAGGGGCGCGGCGTCGCCCCCCGCTTGCTCTGTCTCGTTTCGGCGCGCTGCGGGGGGAGGGGAGTCCCGGCCACGGTGCGCGGCGCGCGGGGGCCGCGAGGTGCGGGCTGCGGGGCCGCAGGAAGTTGCACAGGCATGCGCTGATCTGCATGAGAAAGGGCGGGTCGCGTGGCTCGGCTGGCGGCCCCTCCTCCGCGCGCCCCTTCCGCTCGCGAC